TTTTGTTATGTATATTGGTCGGGCAAGTCGTATGTATGTTGTATCTGATACGATAGGACAATGATTGTGGACATGTATATATAGTGCTGATGAGGTGCCTATCCACTTGGCAAAATGACACAACGGTTGGATCATGAGACGCAATTTGTAAAAATGCAGGGGTTTTCGCAACTAACCGGTTTGTGTCTATATGTCTCTCATCATGTAAGGCTCGAATGTCAAACTGTTTGTCCGTCTATGTACCAAACATGTTAGCCTGACCCATCAGAAGAAAGCTATCAAACTTAGCCCACAAGTAAGACATCATTTTACGGGTAAACAGACCAATATGGCAACAGTCTAATATTTAAGAATTAATTTTATTTCATAATTTGAATATTCAATTCTTTCGTAATCTAGACATCATAATTCGAATTTAAATTTTTTTCCCTTTTAGTAATGTAATCTTACATAATTGGAAAAATATATTCATAAAATATTTAAAATTTAAATATATGGATTAGATTTATCTTACATATATGGCCCACATTACACCAAGGCACTATTTGGTAACTACTATTTTCAAGTTTTTTTGAGTTTTTGGGGGTTCGAGTTTCGTTTTTGCTACGAAGGTTGTGTATTGGTGTTTTAGTCGAACAAAACTCAAAACTCAAAGAAACTTGAAAATAGTAGTTACCCATGAAATTAGCGGCAATTAATCCGTTTGTAAAACTGTCGGTGGATTGATTGTTGTAGTCGACGCCATAAGGGTAAAAGTTTGCCTTGATACCATCTTTAATGTTGTTGTTTCCTGCATCAATAGTTGAATCTCCAAACACGTAGAATGCAGGAACCGACGTAGATGCTTGAGTCATGAGCAGAAAGAAAGAAGAAGAAGAAGAAGAAAGGAAAAGTAACACAAGAATTAGTGTGCCCACGATGAATATAGTGGAAATAGGTGGTTTTTTTTGCCATAAGAGATGGTCTATATGTATGTATGTATTTATAGACAAATTCTAACATTCTATACCAGCTCCACGACTGACTGCTAAAAGAGAAAAGAAAAATAAAAGAATTTAATGAAAATACAAGAGCAGAGCTGATAGGAAGAAGTCATTTGCCAAGACTATATTGTAATTTTGATATGTGAAATTGGGCTTACAACAATAATCTAAATCGTTCATCTTGTCGGTCTCAAAAATATATATATACAAAAAAATTAGTTTGATAGAACATTGATAGACACTAATTAATCATGTTTTATTTTATAAAATGAGTGGTAAATATAATTTTAAACTATAATCTCCATTTTATAAAATAAACTATCATAAGTTTGTATGCCAAATTTAGTCACTAGTCACCAGTCTAGCTGCCACCTTGATCCCCTGTAAGAGTATCAATTAAAATGAGAACCAAATTACTGATCTTGACGGGTGAGGGTATCAATTAGCAGCAAAGCACTTTAAGGCATGCAGTGCCAATCACATCGCAACCGATCTCCCATTCACTTTCACATATCAGAATTACAATATAGTCTTGGCAAATGACTTCTTTCTATCAGCTCTGCTCTTGTATTTTCATTAATTTTTTTTTTCTTTTTCTTTTCTCTTTTAACAGTCAGTCGTGGAGCTGGTATAGAATGTTAGAATTTGTCTATAAATACAGACATACATACAGACCATCTCTTCTGGCAAAAAAACCACCTATTCCCACTGTATTCATCATGGGTACACTAATTCTTGTGTTACTTCTTCTTCTTTTTCTTCTTCTTCTTCTTCTTCCCTTCCGCTCATGACTCATGCATCCACGTCGGTTCCTGCATTTTACGTGTTTGGAGATTCAACTATTGATGCAGGAAACAACAACAACATTGAAGATGGTATCAAGGCAAACTTTTACCCTTATGGCGTCAACTACAGCAATCAATGCACCGGTCGTTTTACCAACGGATTAATGGGTAACTACTATTTTCAAGTTTCTTTGAGTTTTATGAAGGTTGTGTATTGGTGTTTTAGTCGAACAAAACTCAAAACTCAAAGAAACTTGAAAATAGTAGTTACCCATGAAATCAATGGCAGTTAATCCGTTTGTAAAACACAATAATTGGGCTCCAAAATATTGATTTCACACTCCAAAACAAGTTCCAACAAAACTCAAAATCTTAACTTGGAAACGTTAAGAGATGTTAAGTAAGAGTAATTGAAATCTCAACGACCCAATATGATAATCAAAATGCCGTAAGTAAAACAAACTATCAGATTACGCAATACCAATCAAGTCTAAGACTCAGGACATCACAGATATTTGAATAGATAAGGAAAAGAAATTAAATAGATAGTCAAAAAATTAAAAAGATAAAATGTATATATATATGAATGTATATATATATTGTTGAATAGATAGTCAAAAAAGTTAAACAAATAGCAAAAAAAATTTAACAGATAGATAAGGGATAAAATTAGAAATAAAATGTCCTCCCAAATAACAAAAGGACTTCTCAACGACCCAATACGATAATCAAAACGCCGTAAGTAAAACAAACTATTAGATTACGCAATACCAGTCAAGTCTAAGACCCGGGACATCACAGATATTTGAACAGATAAGGAAAATAAATTAAATAGATAGTCAAAAAATTAAAAAGATAATATATATAAATAGTTGAATAGATAGTCAAAAAAGTCAAACTAATAGCAAAAAAAATTCAACAGATAGATAAAGGATAAAATTAGAAATAAACTGTCCTCCTAAATAACAAAAGGACTTCTCACTGGGGCTGCAAATGAACAGAACTGTTCATGAACAAGCTCAGCTCGGCTTATTAAGAGCTTGATTCGGCTCAGTTCGTTTAGTAAACGAGCTGAGCTCAAGCTTGAATATTAGGCTTGTTTTGTAAACGAGCCGAGCTCGAGCTCACATAAGCTTGGCTCATCAAGTTCGGCTCGTTTATCTTTATTTAAATTATATAATAAATACATTATTCATATATTAAATAATATACAAATATATAAATAATAGTATAAATACATTATTTATATATTAAATAATATAAATAATATTTTTATTTAAATCATATAAATAATATTAAAAAAAATTATCGAGCCAAGTTCGAGTTTCATTGATATTAACGAGCTGAGCCGAGCCGAGCTTGAGCTCAATAAACGAGCTCAATAAGTAAATGAGCGGAGCTCGAGCTCAGCAAAGTTCGACTCGACTCGGTTCGTTTGCAACCCTATTTCTCACCAAAATGATGAATCTCTCACCAACAAAAAATGTCCACTGAATCTAATATCTTATACTCTTTTTAAATTGGACCTAACGCTAGTAATGATTTCATTTTCCATATTAAAAAATTGAAAAGAAAAAAAAAAGATTACGCTGACCAAATCGATTGTAAAATCTGTAAAAATATATGGAAACCATTATCTATAGTTGTAATGTTTTGTTATATGTATATTTCTCAATTTTCAAAAATCATAAAATTAAAGGTTTTAAATTAATATATTGGAGATATCTCAAATTTTCCTTTTAAATTTTTTAGAGAGAATAGATTTAGGAAAATCAAGAAAGGAATTTTTTATTTTTTATTTTAAAAATCAAAACTAATGAGATAATTGATATATATTTTTTATAATTATTGGTTTAATGGGTTAGTCCGTAGCTTTTTTAAAAAACTAATTTTTAATTCAAAAATTTAGATATTTAGTTAAAAATATTGGAGTACCCAAATGATCACTTTTAGTTAATATATAGTATAGATATTCACTTTTTGTTTTACCAATAATAATTTCATTTTTTCTATAAAAAAAATAAAAAGGTTACCCAATCGGTTGTAAAATTTGTGGGAATATGTCAATAGTTGTAAATGAAATATACAGGGTTAAAATCAACATAAAAAATAGTAGGAAATATTTTTAAAAACTAAGGTTACATACGGAATTAGATTTATTATGGAAGGCAAATCTAGTCAACACCTTCCAAGGCACTTTATATGGCATAAGATCAATCAGTGAACTTTTTACTATTTTTTTTTAATTTTATTTTGAAGTAGTAAAAATCAATATTTACTATATAGAAAAATTAGTAGAACATCACTCTCTAATTTCTGGTAGTAAGAGGGATCCAATATGATTTTTCTTATCAGTTAAGATTCCTCAATAATATTATTATAGAAATTCCGGCTATGTTTGGAAGGATTTTCAAACTATAATTCTACCCACACATTCTAATATCATGTTTGGATAGTGGTTTCCAACTATATTTCCACAACAAACAGAAAACTCTTTATCAGGCGCGATTTTCAAAAAAAAAATTTGAAATTTGGCCTAACCGGTCATCCGGCCGATTGACCAGAACCGTGCAAATTATTTTATTATTTTTTATTTTTTTGCAATTGACACATGTTAATTTTTATATATTCAAAAAAATATATTTTCCGAATTTAAAAAAAAAATTGTGAGCTTTAATAAAATTTTGAGTTGTGTGTTTGGTTATGAGTTGTAAGTTTTTGTATCAAATATCGTATGTCACATCAAAAATTCTCTACTCAATTCAAAACTCATTTCAAAACTCATTCACCAAATAAATTTTTCACACTCAAATCATAATTCCAAAACTCACAAACTCAAAATACAACTCCTATTCTCAAATCATATTTAGAAAACTCTACCAAACGCTACCTTCAGTTTATCACAAAGAAATTTCACAAATTTGTGATTTGTAAGATCACTTATATAAGTTTATAAAAATTTACGTAATTTTTTGTAAGGTTGCATTACGGTGTTATGGTGTATATTTGTATATACAATTTGTGCTTGTAGTATTATATTAATCATTGTTTGAGATTGATATTTTTAGTAACTTTTTAATTTTCTTTAGAAGCTAAAAAATTATTGCCATATTTGAAAAGTTGCTAAAAACAATTATTAGTGAAAAAAGTAATGTAATATTTGACTGTTTTAGGTAATTGGCAATCGGAACTTTCTTACTCTTTTATCACCCAAACACCCACTCAATCGCTATATATATTGCTTGGAGCCAAGTGTCTCTCCGAAACCTCTCTGCTCTCTCTCTCTCTCCCACTTCTGCCCAAACACCTGTGTTCAACTCCCTCTCTACACGTTCTCTCTCAGTGGATTTGAGGTTTTGATTTTCGCCCTAATGACAGTGATTTTCTTCGCAAGGTTCGATTTCCTTTCTCTTTCGTAGATCAGTTTAGTGTGTGCCAACACCAATAAATAGAATCTATTTATTACTTCTTTTAATTAATTTCTTGATTGCATTCCAGTAGACCAATTTTTATTTTTACAAAATTCTACTGCACCGCCGCTGCTCATCATCATCGTCAGTCTACTGCTACCATTGAAGAGGAAGATCAACAAAGAGCAAAAACCCAATTCAGCATCGACAGCAAGGTGCGATTTCTGCCTCTCAATGTGTTCATACACTCAATGTGTGTCGGTACCCAATTTCTTGCTCACTGTAGTAGTGTTGTTGAGTAAAATTTGTGACTATTCTTAACCAATCTGATTGCATAGGTAATTTCCTGACTGCTAAATTACCCAGATAAAATTTCCTGACTGCTAATCTTTGTGCTCGGTACTCTATTGCAATTATCAAGATCCAAACATAGCATAAGAAAAGCCTAATTGCCCGGTACCTTTGCAATTATCATCATTGACTGTTTTGAGGAAGATGGTTGTGGTTTACAGCATCTTCTGTGTACTCTCCTCTGTTATTGTGTGGTCTCATCTTTTGTTATTGTGGTTTACAGCATCTTTTGCAGTTGGTTGTGGTTATAAAAATAGTTTATATGAGCAGGATTTTTTTGTGCAGAATCATATGAGCAAAATTTTGTTGATGGTCTGTTATTGTGTGCTCTCATCTTTTGTTATTGTGGTGTACAGCATCTTTTGCAGTTGGTTGTGGTTATAAAAAATTGTTTATATGAGCAGAATTTTTTTGATGATATGTTACTGTGTGCTCTCATCTTTTGTTATTGTGGTTACAGCATCTTTTGCAGTTGGCTGTGGTTATATAAACCGTTTATATGAGCAGAATTTTTTTGATGATCTGTTATTGTGTGTTCTCATCTTTTGTTATTGTGGTTTATAGCATCTTTTGCAGTTGGATTCCCAACTTTTGTGTTTGTGTGCTCTCATCCAATACTTCTCTCCATTTTTCTATTTGTGTGCTCTCATCCAACCACATCATCGCTGTACCGCTGTTCAATCAACACGACCACCAGGTTTCTCTCCCTTTCTCCCTTTGAGTATTGAGTATGAACACGTTCTCTTCAGCAATAGCTATGTTTACATAAATGTTTGCATGTTAATGTTCAAGTTCGCCGACTTCTTTCAAGTACATTTTCATGATATTTTGATTTGCATGTTATGGTTCGCTGAATTCTTTCAGATATGATTCTTTGTTCAATTTCATGATTTTGGGGTTGGAATTGGATTGTTTTACTATGAAGTTTTTGAGTGGGGTTGTTGGCAAAATTAAGGGTTTTTTAGTGGAATCAATGCTCTGTTTAAATAAACAACTTTTTTAAGTTTATTTGAGTTACTAATAAATTGGTGTAAGTTTCATGTCTTCATTTAGGAATTTTTTTTCCTTCCTGTGAATTCACTCCATACTCTTTAAAAAGAAAAAAAAAATGATTGATTTTTATTCATTTTGGACCATTACTTTAGAGAAGCAACTCATCAAGTAAAATTGGAAGCTTGGAAGCTATCTCCTATGATCAAGCATTCCTTATTCTCACCTTCACTGTATATAGACAGGCATTTCAGACTAGCGTATGTTGGTTGTTGATTTATATATAGACTAGCGTATGCATGTGCCTGAATGCACGGTGTAAATAATGTTAGGATTAGAATATAATTGTAATCCCAACACTATTTTTTTAATTTGATAAATTCACAAATTTATTATAAAATTTTGGAGTTCTCACAAAACTCCTCACGAAAACTCGTTTTTGCTTATACAATATATAGCTAGATAGATGCTTCTGAGTTTGTTTCAGGGTGGGTCACCAAAGCTCAACAATGGTTGTTTGCCTATGTCATTTTCTTGGTGTAGAAACAGGGATTTTTAAAAAATAAAATAATAGTATAATGATTAATAGTATAATGATGTTGGTTGGTTTTATTTTTGATTAAATAGTATAATGATGTTTAATAGTGTTGCTTTTGATTGCAGTGGTTCCTGTTATAATATTTTTTTTCATTTAAATTTCTTTTGATTAAAGGCATTGCAGTTTGGTTTCATATTTTTCTTATGGGTGGATTTGAATAGTTTGAGCTATTTGATTGTTTTATTTATTTACTTATTTATTTTTTATTTTTTTTGCAGCTGCTCTTCTCAGGGAAGAGGTCGTAGTCCACCTGATGAATTTAGATTCAGTTTTGGAACTAAAATTTGACAATATTATATGTTATGTTATGTTATATTATGTGATGTGTGTGTGTGTGTGTGTGTGTGTGTGTGTCTTTGCCCAGGAATCTGTTATGTTATGTGATGTTGTGTGTGAGTGTGTGTCTTTGACAGTATGTGATGGTTTCGATGGCTTCTACTGGGAATCAATTTTTTTTTTTTAATCTAAATTTTGTTTTTTTTTTTTGGTAGTGGCAATGGGTTGGCTTCCCATGAGCAAATTAAATGGATTCAAAAGGTTGGTTTCATAGTTTGCTTGTGGGTGGATTTCAATAGTTTGAGCTATTTGATTGTTTTATTTATTTATTTTGTAGCTGCTGTTCTTAGCATTTCAGTGCACCATGTTAACCCATTAAAAGTATCCTAATTCTTTAATAGGATGCTTGGCTTCCATTGAGAATTAAATTGTTCAATTTGTTTTTAGTTTGCGAAATTTTTTTAAATTTAATTTTGGTATTTGTAAGTTACTGAAATAAATTTACTCATTTCTTATAACAGGTTTGTTTATGAAGTGTTGATTGAATTTTTTTTCCTTCAATTTCTTTATGAATAACTGAAAGATGAGTGCAGAGAAGTTGGGCATAATTGCTTGTGTTTCTTTATGGTTTTGATTTCATTTATATGAATGTGAAATAGGTTACTATGAGATGACATAAGTCTTTTTCAATGAAATGAGTTTCTATGAATAGGTGACTTCTATTTGTTTTTCTGCTCTAAGATGAGATAGGTCTTTTTCTATGAATAGATCTTTCATGTTCAAAAATTGTCACTCAGTATGGAAGGTTGAAACAGTGATTGTGCTTAATTGCTATTTATTACCTTCAGCTTGGTTTGCTTCTTCATATGTTCATAGAAATGATTTTTCATGCTTTTTGGCACTCACATTTGTGGATTGAAATGTCACATTTGTTTGGTTACTAATTGATAGTGTAAGATAAATTGATAGAGAGATGTAAAAATAAATTGATAGTATTATTGATTGTTTGTATCTTGATTTTCTGTCTATTACAAATGGTTCCTTATATAGATGTAGGTGTAGTGGATGGTGGTAGTGGTGTAGTGGGTTAGGTTTAGTGGAGTAGGTGAGGTGGTAGTGGTGTAGTGGGTTAGGTTTAGTGGAGTAGGTTTAAGTGGGTGAAGTAGGTGGAGAGTAGGTGGATTTTAACAGCCCCCCGCAAACTCAAGGGGGATAAGAACTAACCAACTTGAGTTTGAAAAGAGTAATAAAACAAGAAAATACATAAAAATAAAAGAGGATAGGAGACACTGTATGGTCGTGTCAGACCGTTGGTGAGGACACTGTATGGTGGTGTCAGACCGATGTAGAAGACAGTTTATGGGGTCATGTCGGACCGTTGTAGAAGACAGTTTACGGGGTCATGTTGTGACAGTTTACAGAGTCTTGCTGGACCCTTGTAGAAACTAACCGGAATCAATGTCGGGACAGTTTACAGAGTCTTGTCAGACCCATAAAGGAGCTAACCGAAATTAATGGTCATGTCGGACCGTTGTAGAAGACATTTTATGGGGTCATGTCGGACCGTTGTAGAAGACATTTTATGGGGTCATGTCGGACCGTTGTAGAAGGCTAACCGGAATCAAATGTCGGGACAGTTTATGAGGTCATGTCGGACCGATGAAGGAGCTAACCGGAATCAATGTCGGGACAGTTTACAGAGTCTTGTCGGACTCTTAAAAAGTTGCACCCTCAAAAAGGTGTGCCCAATTCATAAAAAGGCGTGCCATCAAAAGGCGTGCCATCAAAAGACGTGCCATCAAAAGGCGCGCCCAAGTTGTCGGCTTCAAGAGGCGCGCGATGCGCGTGGCTACCTCGGCTATTTAACCAAGACGGAGCTGAGGCCGAGGCAGAGGCTGAGACAAGAAACTGAGAGAAACCTCTGAAAAACTCTTCGTTGTACTGAGAGAGAGAGTCTGTAACACTCTGTTGCGAGAGATAGTCTGTAATACTCTGTTGCCCAGAAAATGGCCTCGTCTTCCCGGAGTCTGCTCACTCTCTTTCCAGACCTCAACGAGTCAACAAGAGAGAAAACTGATGCAGTGACACTGGAACCGCAACCAAGTGCCCCGGAGTTTGCTCCGTTGAACTTTCCGATGCAGTCGGTGGAGCAAAAAATGGCAGTGCAAACTGATATTGAGGCTAATCAGTATACTCTGAAGTCATGCGTGGAAACCATGACGGCGGTCACAAATTTGTCGAACCGGCTGCAGAGTAGGACAAATGAGGTGCAGCATTTAAATTCCCAGCTGGCTCTGCTCCAACGCATGTATAAGGATGCGCGAGCAGAGATCAGTGTGCTAAAGACAGAGAATAAGGAGCTGAAGCGGAAGGCCACCGTGATGTTCCGATTTGGAGGTCCGCCATATGCTGCAGTGGAGGAGTACGAGGGGGTGAACATGCTCGGTGGACAAGGAAGTTCCGAGGTAGCACCGTCAAGAGCCGCCCAGGATGGAGGCAAGAAGAAGAGACCTGCAGCAGAGTAGAGAAGAAAAATCCCACACCACTACCCCACCACTCCCACCACTGCCTTTGCCACTATTACTACCACCATCACCCCATTTTCATTTAATATAACTATTAATACATTAAATAAAAAAATATAACTAAGCATAAAATAGCTTTTAAAAAAATTATAAAAGATGTAAAATTTGGTATAATATTTCGTCACCATAAGACTACTATTATATTTTTAGATATAGACGGAAGAATATATGAGTCCAAGGATTTTAGTCGTCTCGTCTAATCTAAAAATCAAATCGAGAAAGATATGAAACAACATAATCCAATTACAATAACCTTAAACATGACCCCGGAAAGAAAAAAAAAGTATATATGCAAATGGGTCCACGATGAATGGCAGGTGGCAACTAAGACTAACGAAATTAAATGAAACTTGTTAAATTAGGGTTTTGATTTAGAAATTAAAACACATAAATAATGTTATTTAATTATCAAGTCTAAAAATAGAAGTAAGTGCGCCCCCAGTCACCACCGACGTATGGGAAGGAAGGAAGATATAGGACGGAAAGCAAGGTCCGTGGAGAATAGCAGAAGAAAGAAAGGAAAGGAGCATGAGAATCTTGACTATCGTCACTCATTTGATATTCATATATTTGCTTTGTCTACTAAATCCAATTTTGATTTTCTATCTTCACTCTGTCTCCTCTTCTTTCCTTCTCCACGTTTAAAACTTCAGTATAACCGTGATTATTATGATGTGTAAAATACTATGCAATCTATTAAAATTATTAATTTTGTACTGATTTATTTGTTAATTGTGGGGTAATTTGATTCATAGTTTGAAATTCATAATTCGCTTTTGAAACTGTTCCGTTCTGTTATAGTCAACATTAGGGGTGTTTGCGGTTGGAAATTTTCAATCCGCCATCCGTCTGTCGGATTGGCAAGTTAAAAAAAATTAATTTGCATTCGTTTGCTGGATTGGCGAATGTGGATTGAGCGGATTAACCGATTAGGGAATAAATGTAAATCAGTTTGGCGATTTAAATTTTTATAAATTTTGAACATAATACAACAAATATTATATGAAATTAATTAATATTATATATTATGTAAATGCTTGATAATTGTTTAAGATTATTTTTTAATCAACTAACAAGATGAAACTGTAGTGGGTTAGGTTTAGTGGAGTAGGTTTAAGTGGGTGAAGTAGGTGGAGAGTATGTGGATTTAGTGGGTTAGGTTTAGTGGAGTAGGTTTAAGTGGGTGAAGTAGGTGGAGAGTATGTGGATTTAGTGGGTTAGGTTTAGTGGAGTAGGTTTAAGTGGGTGAAGTAGGTGGAGAGTATGTGGATTTAGTGGGTTAGGTTTAGTGGAGTAGGTTTAAGTGGGTGAAGTAGGTGGAGAGTATGTGGATTTAGTGGGTTAGGTTTAGTGGAGTAGGTTTAAGTGGGTGAAGTAGGTGGAGAGTATGTGGATTTAGTGGGTTAGGTTTAGTGGAGTAGGTGAGGTGGTAGTGGTGTAGTGGGTTAGGTTTAGTGGAGTAGGTTTAAGTGGGTGAAGTAGGTGGAGAGTAGGTGGATTTTAACAGATAGTTGTAAAGAGGATGCATTTGTCTATTCTCTCTCAAATTGCCCCCTCTATGAAACAGGTATACTCAAATTGGTGAATCAAACAGTGGGAGTTTTATCTTATTTTTAATAACAAACAATGGGCAATTTTTAGGGGGTTGATTTTGGATAATGGAGCTTGCTTACTTATATTTTCTATTCTTCCTTTTGTTTCAGGTACATATGCATTGGCTTGAAGTAATGTTTGATTAGCTCATAAAAAGTTGTTGCGATTTTGTTTGCTGCAATGGTTGATTAGGTAATTGGTCTCCCTTCCATTAATGGATTTGTCAATAATTTGTTGCTTATCTATTGTTTCATTTTTCATGCTGTGAAAATTAAGAATCTGTTTTGATGGCTACTGTGATTGCTCTAGACAGAAAGAGTACTATTCTGCTGCGTAGAATTGAACACATAATTCTCAAAAAAAATGTGCCCCACACATTACGAGATTTACCTATGTTTGATTCCATTAATGGTTTCTTTGCAAACTCGCACGCACACATACATATATATATATATATACTGAGAGAAGCTTCCCTCAAGACTCCAACAGCACTTTGTGAGTCCCATTGGGCTTACGACAATAATCTAAATCGTTCATCTCGTCGGTCTCGAAAATATATGTATATATATACAAAAAAAATTAGTTTGATTGAACATTGATAGACACTAATTAATCATATTTTATTTTATAAAATGAGTGGTAAATATAATTTTAAACTACAATGTCCATTTTATGAAACAAACTATCATATGTTTGTATGCCTAATTTAGTGACTAGTGACCAGTCCAGCTGCCACCTTGATGTCCTGTAAGAGTATCAATTAAAATGTGAACCAAATTACCCATCTTGATGGGTGAGGGTATCAATTAGCAGCAAAGCACTTTAAGGCATGCAGTGCCAATCACATCACAACCGATCTCCCATTCACTTTCACCTATCAGAATTACAATATAGTCTTGGCAAATGACTTCTTCCTATCAACTCTGCTGTTGTATTTTCATTAAATTTTTTTCTTTTTCTTTCTCTTTTCTCTTTTAACAGTCAGTCGTGGAGCTGGTATAGAATGTTAGAATTTGTCTATAAATACAGA